TAGATTGAGGGAGTTAAATTTTTTATTTTTATTATTTTTTTTTTTGAATTCAATTTTCAACTCCTTCATCCATATTTCATTTCCATGCAAATCGGGTCGGGTCAACCCCACATGGCTGACCTATTTTCTTCCAACATCTCCCCTCGCACATAATGGGCTTGACATGATTCTAATATAATACCAATTATATTAATCTCAACATCTCCAAGTTCATTTAGGTAAATAGATCGTGCGACCAACAAGTTAATTTAAGAGCACACAACACTATACTCCTGTTAGGGATATATAGCAGCTCTAGAAGAGGAATTATATTTCTCACCATACCCCAGACATATTTTGTAATACCAGTTCGAGTATTTATGACCCCTCAATTCATTTTAAAACATACTCAACTTTCTCATTTATATTGTATTCACAATTGTGTCACAAAACTCAAATAATTAACACAATTGTCCAGCTGGTGAATATAAGTTGAGGTGTTAGTTAAATAGTCTTCCTTTCCTACTTGAATCCCTTCATTTCAAGTCAGCTGCTTTCCTAGACATGTTCCATCAAATCGAATCAATCATAGTTATTGGCAACATGCTAAAGTAGCAAAACTGAAATAAAATTTTGAGAAACAGTTAAAAGTCATAAGGGTATATATAAGTGAGGTCAAATGTGCCTCAGAGACTCACACAATGAAGAAGCAAGGATCAATTCTTTCATTTCTCATTGGTCGTTAAAGCACACATGGTATGAAACACGTGTTAGGATGTTTTCTGCATTTCTTAGGGCGTATGTCTAATCTTGCAAATTAAACATATCGTACAAATCATAGTTCAGATATTCCTCGATATCTAACTCGAGTTCTCCTTATAGTCATTCCTTCAAGCATTCTCAAATCGAGAACTCAAATCTGGCTACTAAACGTGTTTAATGGATAGAAAAATCCATTTCGATTACTTATTGTAATCTCATATTGATACCTTAACAAGGCGACTGGATCATGTACACAACATGATCACTATCAAGGCCACAGGATCATGTACACAACATGATCATTTTATCTCATCTCAGCACATCTCAAAACGTCTGACGCGATTGCTCGTGTGAGTGAGCCAATCTCAACCCGTTTGCCATACTTTATATGTGCATACAAATCATTTATCTCATAATCCCAACATTAGATTACACATGAACTCAAAATTATTCATCTATGGGCACATAAAACTCAATCAGGAGTTTGTCTGATACACCAAGTATCATATTCTATGAAATTCTAGAGATTCCATATTATTAACAAATATATCTCTAGATATCTTCAGAGTATAATGACTACATATCATCATTTACGTAGATATATCATAAAGACACTTTCTTTGCTAATGTCTCTCATAGAATTACCATTAATTGTTTGGTTCCATCTTGATATTTGAGATCTTAACATATAAGATAGTTGCGTAACTATCATGGATATCATATTTTGGGCCAGTATCATTAGATGCTCAATACATCCATACCAAATAATTTCTTTAGCTGCTAAGCTATACATTACAACATATGCTTCTTGCTACTCTATATAGCAAAAGCGCACAAGTCAAATAACTAATTATGCTCGACTAACTCTCATTCTTAGTCAACAATTGTGTATCTATTCCAATTACAAGTTATTCGTTTGACAACGAAATAGAATAACTGACAGCAGCACCTTTCAGGTGTCACAATACATTTTCTAAAGATAATGTTGATACCTGCTAATTAGATCCATGGCATGACCATTGTATGTGAAGTGTTTTGATTGTGATTCACATTACATTAAATAATATGTCTGTGAGAATTATATATCTCATTTCATATTGTATGTATTTTTAGTTGACACACATCCGTGGTTTGAGATCTATGTGTAATGTGTTGTCATGCTGGTACATTTTAACTATATATTCATCTATATGTAGTGTGTAGGTTGTGATTAACATGGCATGAGATTATATGAATGGTTTGAAACATATAGCACGAAACGAGACATGATATAAAATATCTTTACATGCATGTTGTGGAACTATGTGTAATATACTGCAGTGCTGATTTAAAATTACACGATGGGTTGTTGAACGTATCTTATTCTATTATATTACCCAACCAAAATAGACTATAAACAAAATTCAAAAACATAAGTATTTATACAAACATGATTATAGCGAGACAAAATGAGTACAAAAGCACGTAATGTTTAGCTAAAAAGTTAAAAAGCATAAGTACTCGTAAATTGTAAGGATATAAATTAAGCAACATGGTTGCGTGGTTATCCATGTTGGTGTTAGGACATGGTTACAAGTTGAGAGATTTTGTTGAATAACTCATACATAGCTATCAAATAAAAAGAAAAAAAAATTATATAATAATCTTTTAGACTGTATTTTAGTATGCACATACTTTATATCATTTCAACCCATAAACATTTTCCTATTTTATTGTGCAAATTATCTGAAATTCCAATTTCCCTATCACGTAAATTGAAATTGAAAATTGATCTATACCGCAGTCGTTAATAACATCAAACCAACTAATTTTGAGGATAGGAAGTTCCACTACTTAAAATGCCAATTATCTCAATTCCAATTTGCCTAACACACGTAACTCAAATTGCACATTGATATAAACTGCAGATTTTCATATTACATCAAACTAATTTTTTTTGTGCAATTTTTTAGGACACTTCCTATTCCACTAATAATGCAAATTGTTTCCATTCAAATTTGATTAACGTGAAATCAAAATAGCATACTTCTATAATACGAGTGCAAATAAGTTCTTATAATTTTGAAAACTAAATGGTCCAAAGAAAGAACAAAAACTAACATTTGGAACGGCCCGTTGCATGGGAACTGAAGGAATATCAGCTCTATAATTCCATTTGCGGACGATGAACTTACTTCTTCCATTTCCAAACTCCGAGCAACCAGTACAACATATACACTAACTTGCAATAAAAATGAAAAAAAAATCCAAAAAAACTATATAAACTTGTTTAGAAAGGAAATAGGATCTAGTTCAACTATTGATACCTAATTTTTGTACAATATAATTGGATGATTAGAGAATTTACATGAGATATATAATTCTAAAATTGAAATTGGATAGGAATTTTGCAATGGGGTAGGGAATCTTTGGGCGGTCGAGTGATTTGTGGCGGGTGGCAAAGAGACCAATGCACGACGAGGAATCGATTATGCTTTAGGAAAAGTAGTGCAATTTTTATCATATTTTAGGAGTATTGCATATTGTACCGTCATTTACAAAATTGGGTTGGGGAGGATAAACAGATTCTTACTAACAAGATTTGCAGATGGATTGAAGGATTTTTTTGGGCAATAATTGAGAAGAGGTTGAATTTGGGAAGATGAACGATTTTGGGTATTGTATTGTGTTACGTGTTGTCATACTTGGCCAACCTACTTGGGCCTAGGCCCACTCAATTCAAACCACGTGGCGCTCTAGCCGAGGTGGCATGTATGGCTGAGGCCCTTCATGCCAAGGCCTGTGAAGATAGCTGAAGCCCTAAAGCTGAAGTACTACGTGAATGGCAGAAGCCTCCGAACCATGGAGGAATGTCTTCCATGATCACTTCTCCCAAGAGATCTTCTACATAAAGATCTTGTTAGAATGATTGATGGAACGTTTGTCATAAGTGTACATATCAAGTCTTGTCATTAGCATGGGGGTTCTGCATAAGCAATAAATGTGCAGCAAGCTAGCAAGTCAAGAATGATGCCTAGGATTGGATGTTTGGATTAAAGAGATGAGGCCACGTGCCACCTCATCCAAGAGCTGTCATTTCACATGTACCACTATAAATACTTCCCTTGTGTAACATTGAAGGACTAATGCAAGAATCAATACAAGAAACCACACTTTACTCTCTCTTTTATATTATCTTGCAGCACAATACGAGTTCATATATATTTACATGCACATTCAAGAGCACAGATTGGTAATTATTGTACAATCGGATTACGAACATCCCGCCAGATTTCGAACGTTCTCGTCCCGCGTTGTTGAGCTACTCCCACGCCCCTGATCCGTTCGTTCTAGACCGTCTACGTGTCTTAGCATGTAGGACCTTCGCTCACGTGTGCAAGGGTGGGTCTGTCATCTGCTGGCAACATTTTTTAGGGTTAACAGATTGGTACCATCGGTGGGAAACTATACCATAATCACGAACAACCTTGTGGTGAAAACTTATTGAAAAAGCATTTGGGCATCCCTCTTGAAAAATGATTTGTTCTTGAAAAAGAATAAGAGAAAACCCCACAACGTAGCAAAATCTGAAGAGTCAGACGAAAAGAAAATGAGTTCAAATGAAGACACACCCCCCAGGAGGGTAAGAGAAAAATGCAAATGGGGTCAATATATTGAGAAATGTGATTTGAGGATTCTCAATTATGGTGGAAGAATTACAGGAATTGTTTGAGGGCATGATTTAGGGTGGACTAAAATTAGATGGATGATTTTGCTTATTTTAACATTTCCTTTATACTGGAATATTGTAGTAAATATCATAATAAAAATGTTAAGATGTATTATATGAATATTTTTATAAAATGAGGTATCCCATGTAATTTCCTTGATTTCGAATGGTTAGGCTGTTGGGATAGATATATGGGCTGAGTGGGGTATTGGGCTTTGTAGGAATTGGGAAGATGGGCTAGGTTTTTGGTTAAATGTGTTGTGAATTTGTAGTGAACATTGAAAAGCAACAAAGGGAATTGAACTTGTAGTGGCAGACTCTGAAACGAAATTTTTTCTCTGAAATGAATTTTTCTTTTTGTAACGGCAAATTAAAAAAAAAACCAGATGTATTGTCGTCCTTTTTTTTTAAAACAAACTCGAAACGACTGTTGAAAAATTGAATGAAAAGTGTTCTTGCTATGGAGATACTTGTGCTTTGTGCTGTTCTGAGGCTTAGTTAAGGTAGTTGTATGGTTTTGGGTGGGTCGTGAAAGGCTGCGGTTTAATGTATGGATTGGGTGGAACAATTAGCTGGGGATCTTGTGTGTATTGAATTTGAGGGCGAGAGGTGTAGGCCAAAGGAAATCGTTTGGCTTTGATACCAAATTGACGCCGGATACAATAGAAGAATTGTAGGAGAAGGGAAAAGAGGAGAGAAGAAGAGAAAGGAGGGGGGAAGGAGAGAAGAAGGGGGGGTGGAAGAGAGAAATAAGGGAGAAAATATCAAGTTTTATTCATTCAAAAGTTGTCCCAATCATATTGCATAGATCCCTTTATATAGGGTTTAAACTTATGATAATTAAAGTAGGAAAATACTTTAAATAAATGACTAATTATGTTTCCTAAAATACGCATTAAAATTGGAAATTATATATAATAATATCCCTTCTCATTCTCCATCATGTACCCATGTACCCGTGTTCGAAATTTTAACTCTTTTTAATTATGTCCCCATATCCTACATTTTAGAAAATAAGATATTCAATACTTGAATACGTACCCAAACCCGATACCAGTACTTAAGTCCGAGCATAATAGTTTTCAACTGTGTTACATGGACTCCTTGGTTCATGGTGGCACACTGTTGTCTACGCGACATTACCTGGACCTTGGTATGAGATCTATCTCAGAGTCACCCATCGTTTAAAGAATAAGAAGAGATCAATAGTGGATTGAGATAGTTGTGCTCTCTGTAGTACGGACACTTCAATTAAGATAGCGTGTTTGTGCTGAACACGTGCCGATACCGAATCTTCTTGGACACTCTATCAAACATATTTTTATTAAAAATATAACATGTTTTTAACTCAAAGTTATTATAACAAATAGGTACTCATAGATAAAAGATTTCAACAAGAACAAGTTTAAAACTAAATTTATACTATATAGTTGAATAATTTAATCAACGCGTCGACGACGTGTTGTGTCAGTGCTTTTCTTAAAAAATCACTTGTCAGACACACGTATCCGTGTCGGTGCATCATAGGTTATGCTTCTGTACAAGTGCTTGCTATAACTTTAAAATCAAGTCGTGATCTGTTAGTATCTATTGGAGTACAGATGGTGATAAAAATTGAAATAAGCAGAAAGAAGGTTGACATAGCCTTATTTTACAGACTTCATTCTCCCTACATTAGAATTGTACTAAGCTGTATCTCGCATTGTTTGTATGGATGAAAATTTTACCAAATTGCATTTTCAGTTCAAGTTTGACAGTTTCTCCTTTATCTTTCAATTTGTAATCTTGCAAAAGTCAGATCTTAATCTTTGTGGTTTTTGTTGCGACATTTATGGGCAGTATGGAGATCTTTTAAGACTTTTTGAGTACGGTGGATTCCCTCCTGATGCAAATTACTTGTTCTTAGGGGACTATGTAGACCGTGGAAAACAAAGTTTAGAAATAATATGCCTTCTTCTAGCCTACAAAATCAAGTATCCTGAGAATTTCTTTCTCCTAAGAGGAAATCATGAATGCACGTCTATTAATAGTATATATGGATTCTATGATGAGTGTAAATGCCGCTACAACTTGAGATTTTGGAAAGTCTTCACCAATTGTTTTAATTGCCTTCCAATGGGTGGTCTTATAGATGATAAAAGGAAAAGTCTATATGTACATAATTATTGCACGTAATGTTGTCCATAATGTGATGTGGCAATCATCAGATTGTTGATGTGAAAGTGTGGGATTTGAATTAAAAGTTGGATCTAGTACCACATGTAATTATGGACACCATTATGCAAGCAATTATGTACATACCACTTTCCATGATAAAATACTTTGCATGCATGGTTGTCTTTCTGGTTATTGTATTAACTTTATTGACATAGAGTTGACTCTGTAACGCCCCGACCCCTAGTGGACCGGAACGCTACTTACTTTACTTAGCTTAACCGGTGGTTTAGTAACAAGTGTATACGTTTTAGCGGAAGCTTACATTTTCGGATAATAATTTAAATAATAATACTTTAAATACTTTAAACAAAAATACTGAATCATTTTTCAAAACAACAAAACGTAATTTATTTGAAGAAAACATAACTTATTCTCGCACTCTGCGTTATTCAAAACTTTAAAGAAATAACATTGGAAAACATTTCATAAAAATAAATCCAAATCACTTATTCACCGGATTTCCATGGGCTCATTGCATCACTCTCCATCTTCTCCTCCATCCATGCCCGAGGTAGAATTCCTTCAATCTGTAGAGATGGGATTAAACTCGTGAGTTGAAAAACTCAATAGGTGTCATAGGTGCATTCGTGATCAAGCTATACATTTCAAAACAATAACTTTATAACTTTTCATACATGTCGTACCTGGAGGCACCATTTGACATGAAGGGGTATGCCGTACCCGAGGGCACCATTTGACATGAAGGGGTATGCCGTACCCGAGGGCACCATTTGACATACGAACATTTCTTCAACATAGAGTGGTATGCCGTACCGGAGTACCATTTGACATACAACCATTAACATAGAGGGACATGCCGTACCGGAGTACCATTTGACATACAAATATTAACATGAATCGAAACTTATAACTTAACACGATTAAACACATTGCACCTCTACCCACCTTGATTGATGCTTTTGAAACTTTGAAAACTTGGATTGAAAACTTCGATGAAACTTGGACGTTGAAAGAAATGCACTCCTTGAATGTTTGAAAATCGTTGAAAACACTCTTTGATAGCACCTAAAACTTCTATGAAAAATGCTTGAAAATATTTCTTAAACTTCTAGGAAAAATAGTTTTCCTCCCTCTCTTTTTCTCTCTTGGAAACTCTTTCTTTAGTATGTAAAAGCTCTTGCTTTTGGTGTGAGAAAAATGAGTGAAATGAGGTCTCTATTTATAGGTAAATATCCCATAACTCAAAGCAAATGAAGGGTCAAATTTCATTTAAGAGATAAAATATGGGTGCCATTTAAGTTTGAGGTAAAATGCTTCAATTTAGTGGGGTTTTTATTGCTAAAAACATGGGTGGCCCTTTGAGAAAATAATTGATGAAAATAAATATTTAAATTCTAGAGAAAAACGAGAATTTTCATTTCAGGCAGTTTCGGTCGATCGGTTGTAGTTCGGTTGACACTGCACAGCTTTCAGTTTTTCTATCATAACTTCTTCTCCCGATATCCAATTGAGGTAATTCAAAGTGCATTAGAAAGCTAACTCAAAGAGCTACAACTATTTAGATATCATTTTCTAAATCGAATGTTTCCTATGTCTAAAATGGGTCTCAAATGAGACTAAAAATCTGAAGTATACTTTAGTCATCCAATATTCATGTCTTAGTGCCACTAAGGTGTCTAGAATTATTTGGGATTCTACAGACTCTCTAAGCATCGATATCCTTGAAAGATGGAAATATAATATGTTAAGTGTTTGCTCACTTGGACAACCCACCGGGGCCCACAACCAACTCATGTCGAACCACGTGGCACTCAAGTCGAGGTGATTTGCATAGTCGAGGCCCACAAATCGAGGTCTACAGAAGCCTAGGCTCATATATACCGAGGCCCATCTATCATTGCCTCTTGAAGAGCTTCCAAAGCCCATATGCCGAGGCCCTTTGAAGGTGGACGAGGCCCTGTTGGACAGCCTCCGAATCACAAAGCAGCATCTTCCATAGACACTTCTCTCAAGAGATCCTCTGCACAAAGATCTTACTTGAATGATTGATAGGACGTTTGTCATGAGTGTAAATGTTAAGTCTTGTCACTAGTAGAGGCGGCTCTGCCAATTAATAAATGTATAGCAGGTTAGGTGCGATTGATGCCTACAATTTGACATGTAAATTAACCGGATGAGGCCACGTGTACCTCGAACCAAATGTCACGATCTAACTTGTGATACTATAAATACTCCCCCATGTACCCCATACAAAGGCTAATGCAAGAATCAATACAAGAAACCATACTTTACTCAACTCTCTCTTTCTTATTATCTTGCAACACAAACGAGTTCATACATATTTAGATACACATTTACAAACATCGATTGCTAATTATTGTACATTCGATCTACGAACATCCTGTCGGATTTTGAACGCTCTCGTCCCGCTCCGTTGAGCTACTCCCACGCTCTTGATCTGTCCGTTTTAGATCATCCACATATCTTAGCGTGTTGGACTTTCGCTCATGTGTGCGCGGGTGGGTCCGACATCTGTTGGCAAATTTTTTTGGGTCAACAGATTGGCACTGTCTATGGAAAATCATACAATAACCATGAACAACCTTATGGTGAAAGCTTATTGAAGATGAACATTTGGGCATCCCCCATGAAAAAGGATTTGTTCTTGAAAAAGAACAAGAGGAAGCCCCACAACTTAGCAAAAATCTGAAGGTCAAACGAAGAAAATGAGTTCAAACGAAGATACACCCCTCAGGAGGGTAAGAGAAAACGCAGGTGTGCCCCCTCCAGCAGCTGCCCCAGCAGCTTGGCACCGACTTCACCACCTCCATAGAAGAGGTGGAATGCGAGTGACAGCCCAACTATAAAGAGAAATGGCCGACATGGCGGTCAACATGAGGGGCATTGCTAGCCAGAACATGGCTATGAGGGAACTCATGGCCCAAATGCAAGGCCAGGGAGGCTTCCCTATTCCTCTATACGCCCCCAAGGGTATTACTAGCAAGAAGATGAAGTTCAAAGTCAGAGGATTGCCTCGCCAGACTATAGTGGAGGTAGAAGCCCATTTGAAAAGGAAGTGGAAGTTGATGTTTCTTCCAACTACGCTTCTAAACGACCCACCGAGGTCCCTTTGAACCATGATAACTTTCCACCTCCATATGAGCAAGAGTAAAGACATAGGAGGTTAGGTAGTGTATTTAGCAGAATCAGCCCTGCAGAACTGAGGCCTAGGCAGCAACAACGTCGTGAGCCTTGGACAAGGCCACAATCCCCACCTCTAATGCCTCAACAGCCGGAAGAAAGGCATGAAAATGTCCCCTCCATCCTGCACCGCCTAGAAATAGGATCCAAAGGAGGGAAGAGGAGGCTAGGAACCGTCCCGGCACCTCTCACCAACCACTAAGGTATAAAGCCGATAAAAATGATTCAGATGAGTAGCAGAGGTCCTATGACTTGGATGATGATGATAAAAACCTGCCATTCTCAAGGGAACTAAGGAGTGCCCAGGTCCCGAACCACTACGTTATGCCCAAGATACCAAAATATGACGGAAGAGGCGACCCAGAGAAGTACCGGAATGCTTACAAAACTCACATGAGCCTAAGGGGCATCGCCTCAGCTGTGAAATGCAGAGCTTTCCACTTAACACTTAGCGAAGCAACTGAAATTTGGTATAGTAGGTTACCACCTGGGAGCATAAGAAGTTGGCCCGAATTCAAGACCACCTTCTTGAAAAGGTTCGGTGTGAGCAAAGAGGGAGAGGCTTCCATCCAACGTCTCCAAGATATGAGACAGGCACATGGAGAGTCCCTGAAGATCTTCATATCACGCTTCACTGATGAGATGACATACTGTGTGCAAGTCACCAATCGTGAGGTATTATCTGCACTAAGAGGAGGCCTGAACATGAACACCCTGTTTTGAAGGGACGTGCAAAATCAAGACCCCACCACCTATGACGACTTACTCGAGATGATGAGGCGGGAGATCATCAATGAAGAATTGATTGAGCATAGGAATAGGGCAAGTAGAGGCCTCTCACCTCTGTAAAGATAGCGTGCTAGAGGGCCGACCTCCTACTTGATGGATTACAAAATGAACCAAGCGGGTAATGAGAGTTCTGGGCAAGCATTTACCACCACCACTCTGAATGCAGCATATGAGGATATCAACCAAGTCATTGACACCCAACAGATAGGAACTTCGCAAGGATCCCACAGGTGGAGAGGCCGAGGCCGGGTTTCGGGACCTAGAAATAGGTCAAATCCAAACCTCCCCAGATACTGCATATACCACCAGTCCTATGGCCACCACACAGCAAATTTTCGAGACTATGCTCACCGTACCCGGCAAGAACCCCTAGGGATAGAAATGAATCACCCCAAGCAAACATACCCTTACCTAGGTATGACAACCGACCTGGGTATGAAGAGGCCGCTTCCTATCAAAGGGATGTTTCCCCACAACGAAGGAAGCACGATACAGAGAGGCCCAGGGAAGGGCGCAGACACCGAAGAAATCAAAAAACTCAGGATGAGGCCCCTATCCACGAGGTGGATACCATATTTGAAGGCCCATAGGTGGGCGGTGAAACGCGGAACGCTAAAAGAAATTATGCCCGTGAGGCTAAGAACCCCCTACTGACCAGCTATATTATGGACCACAGCTCCCGGAGAAATAAAGTTCCACCTATTGTCTTCACCCAGGAGGACGCTGAAGGAGTTCACTACCCCCATTGCGATGCACTTGTGGTGAGAGGGGTCATAGCTCAGAATGGGCTCAAACGAATATTAGTTGACAACGGTAGCTCTGTCAACATTTTATTCGGGTCCACCTTCGACAAGATGATACTGGACCATGAGTTGATGCCCACCTCCACTCCCTTGTATGGATTTACCGGAGATAGCTTCGCTCCGAGAGGAAAGATCACCCTTGCAGTGGAGCTGGCAGAGTCTCTCCAAACTACAATGAACTTCATGGAGTTCCTCATTGTTGACAGTTGATCAGCCTACCACGGAGTATTAGGTAGGCCAGCTCTAAAGGAATTGGGAGCCATCACCTCCATCCACCACCTATGCATGAAATTCCCAATGAAAAACGGGGTGGCAACGGTGAGAGACGACCAAAGAGGCTCCAGAGAGTGTTATCTAAGCTCCATCAGAAAGGTAGAGTCTCGGGACGTCCATGTCATTATCGCCAACATAGTCATGGCTGATGTCCCAAGTGCTTTTCCTTCCGAATCGGAAGATGTAGAAATGATCGACACACCACCCATTCCGGAAGTATTGGTCATCAATGAGACTGACCTCCACATAATTGAACACGAACCTCAAGCATCCCTAGTTGAGGAACTTGAGAGCTTCTCGATGGACCCCCGAGCCCATCCAAATTGTTGAAAGTGGGCAAAGGCTTATCAGACATTTTGAAAGAAAAGATCAAAGATTTTCTAAGTAGGAACCTTGATGTCTTTGCTTGGAGGAATTATGACATGGTAGGCATTAACCCCAAGGTCAGTTGCCACCACTTGAAAATTGATCATAAGGTTGTCCCGCACAGACAAAAGAGAAGAGCACTCGACCCTGAGAGGTATGAGGCCCTGAAGGAACTAGTTCAGAAGCTCATCCAAAATGGCTTTATCAAGGAGGCCACCTATCCGAGGTGGGTCTCTAACCCAGTTTTAGTGAAGAAACACAATGAAAAATGGAGGGTATGCATTGATTTCATTAACCTCAACAAAGCTTGCCCGAAGGACAACTTTCCACTCCCAAGGATTGACCAACTGGTAGACTTCACGGCTGGGCACGAGTTGTTGAGCTTCATGGATGCATACTCCGGCTACAACCAAATTTCCATGCATTCGGCCGATGAAGAACACACCTCTTTTATCATAGACAGAGGTCTTTACTGCTATAAGATGATGCCCTTCGGGTTGAAAAACGCTGGAGCAACATATCAAAGGCTCGTCAACAAAATGTTTGTGGACCTTATCGACAAGACAATGGAGGTCTATGTAGATGACATGCTTGTGAAAATTTTGGAAACTGGGGGACCACATAACGCACCTCAACAACACCTTCCAAATCTTGAAAAAGTATAGGATGAGGCTCAACCCCCTCAAGTGCGGTTTTGGGGTTGCCTCCGAAAAATTCTTAGGATACATGGTCAACCAACGAGGAATTGAAGCCAAACCTGAGAAGATTGAGGCCATATGCAAGATGAGGTCTTCCCAAAAGCCAAAGGAAGTACAAAGCTTGACTGGGTGAGTGGCAGCACTTAGTCACTTCGTCTCCAAAGCTACAGACAAATACCTCCCATTTTTCAAATTGTTGAAAGCTGGGAAGAAGTTCCAATGGACCAAGAAATGTGAAGAGGCTTTCTAGGGCCTGAAAAGGCACCTAGGGCAAGCTCCCCTATTCTCCAAATCGTAGCCCGATGAGATTATTCAGCTGTATTTAGCCATCTCCAATGAGGCCATCAGTGCGGTTCTAATCTGAGAAGAGGGGACCACCCAACTCCCCGTATACTATACAAGTAAAGCACTCCTATCGTTGAAAACCCGTTACCCTGATATGGAGAAGCTCGCTTTAACCTTGATTACGGCTTCCAGGAAATTGAGGCCCTATTTTCAAGCCCACACCATATATGAGCTAACAAAATTTCCCCTAAGGCAGGTACTTCAAAAGCCCAATGCCTGAAGAAGATTATTGAAATGGGTGGTGGAGCCAAGTGAATTTGACCTCGTGTTCAAGGCTAGGGCGGCCATCAAGAGCCAAGCCTGGCTGAATTTGCTACAGAATTTGCCAATTTACCCGAGGCGGATGAAATCATGGAACAAGTCTAGCCCCCTACATGGAACTTATTCGTGGATGGATCGGCTGGGGATACCGGCTCAGGTGCCGGAGTTGTCCTCATCAGCCCGAAAGGTCACAAGTTGAACTTAGCTATGAGGTTTGAGTTCAAGGCCACCAACAATGTGGCAGAATACGAGACGCTTCTTGCGAGCCTCAGATTAGCCAGAGAAATGCAAGTGAAGAGGCTACTTATCAGTAGTGACTCCCAGCTGGTCGTTAGCCAGGTGAATGGCAACTTCTCAGCCAGAGACAAAACCATGGCCTCCTACTTGAAAATGGTGATGAACCTCATCCCATCCTTTGAAAAGTTTGAGATGATCCAGATCCCCCACGTTGAAAATGCACGTGCGGATGCACTCCCCAAACTTACAAGTAGAAAGGACTCCGAACTACTCATAGTAGTCCTAATAGAGCACCTCCTTATACCATCGACCGAGGCCCCCAATATGATGTGGGTGGCCGAGACTCCTACCTGGGTACAGCCCATCGTAGCCTACCTAAAAGACCGGTACTTCCTACTAATAAGCATGAAGCTTACAAGCTAAGGAGGAGGTCAGCTCATTTCCTCTTCATTGATGATGTACTCTACAAGAGAAGCTTCTCCTCTCCACTCCTTCGATGCGTAGGAGGAGAAGAGGCTACCTATATCTTAAGGGAAGTCCACGAGAGTGTTTGCGGCAACCACTCTAAAGGTCTATCTTTGACGGAAAAAATACTAAGATAGGGGTACTATTGGCCTACCTTAAAAAAGGACGTCTTTCAGTTGGTACGAAAATGTGACAAGTACCAACGATTCTCTCCTATCCAAAGACAACCATTGCAAGATTTGACCACGGTCTCTAGCCCCTAGCCTTTCTCG